AGAAAAAAAAGCCATTTTTCACCTTTGATTGCATTATTCTGAATTGCGACTGAAAGTGGGATTAAAGATGCGGATTATAATATCGTGAAACCTCTATCCAGTGATAATGATGTGTTCTATTTCGATTCTATTTATAAAAATATCATTTATACTGGATTGACTTGCATTGGATTTTTTCTTCAGGTTGACTATAAGATCTTAACTATTGATAATTATAAAGGAAACATTGGTTTTCTTAGACTCTTAAATGGCAATAAGAAACAAAAGTTGAATAGAGTACGAAGAAACTTTCTGATTTGAAATTAAACTCAGATCATTATAAGCAAAGATGGATAGTGGCTAGCAGTGGAATCCAATTTGACGCACGTTTCGTTCAATTTGGGACTCGTCAGCTGGGTGTACTTGCATCTCAGAGTTGATGTTCACTCGTGGACTCGAACCCAGAACCGTTCTTTTCAAACGCCATCGCGTTATCTAATTAGCTACTGAGTCCTGATAGCTACTTACTCTGTTCATAATGATTGTGAATTAAGGCAGTATCGAGGCAATACGCATAGTATGCACATACACCAATAAACGACTGATCAATTGCAGTCCTAAACATCATTAGGAAAATTCCAGTAAATAATACTATGTGAATTTAAACTCAGATCAGTCTTCTTTTAATTATTTTCCACTTTTAAGTACATAATATGATGTACATAGCTGTAGAATCCAAGAAGCTCGGATCATCTTATTTAGGACTTGTCATTAAATGGATGTATCTTTTACATTCCAGTGTTGATATTCATCCTCAGGCTCAAATCCAGTATTTCTCACTTCAGATTTCTAATCGGTTATTTGCTGCAGCTACTAAGCCCAAATAATCAACAGCTTGTACAACGAGAATGAATTTTGTTTCCATTTATAATGATAGGAATCTTCCCGTTGTTGATATTCAAGACAACAATTGATCAGGGTTTTTTCGACCATATTGTAACAATATCGAAGCGATTCGTGCTTAAAATGTGCATATACTAACAAACGTTTATCAAAACTTCAGTTTTGATACCAGAGACAGCGAAATAAATGGAAAAATATTTATTTCTTTATTTCGTTTAATTTTCAGTTGTCACTTATACTACTTTTAATTAAGTAGTATTCCTTAAACTAGAATAATAAAAGTTCCAATCTACACAATAATAACTGCAAGTTAATGTAAGTTTTAGACGATAAATGCGATGTACACCACATTATTGAGTTGCTTTTTCTTCATTAGTCTAAAGTATATTTTTAAGAAGGTCTTCAAAATTGTCTTAAATGTAAATTGTAAAATCTTACCTTCCTCTCCAAAGCGTCTAAATAGTCTATTGACCTTAATTTTTAAATTAAATACTAGTTTCTTTCCTGTGTGTTTCCTTATATATATATATATATATATATATATATATATATATATATATATATATATATATATATATATATATATATATATATATATGAGGGCTGTGAAACTGCCCGGGTGCCCAAACCGAAGCAGGTGATTTTCTTAGGGGAACACACTCCGAGCCTTTGACCTGAACGTCTGACCCACAAGGCAGTGGAGCATCGTGAGGAGATGCAGTCCCATGGTAGCCGGTGACCAACGATTGGTTCATACGCCATTTGTTCCTTCAGGATACTGGAGCCCATGTGCACCATTGGTTTGGGGTCCGGTTAAAGCGCCGGACATTCGCTTTTCGTCCTCTCATTTTTGTAAACAACACCTGTGCCACGAGAAGGCAGTGAGTAGGACTTCCCTAGCAGAGGCTATATACGCATGGCCATGTGAGAGCATTTCGAGAGGGAGAGCGGACTCTCCCCACTCTCGGCCGTACCAGGGCATTTAGGGGCATATATATATATATATATATATATATATATATATATATATATATATAGGCAGATGAATTCTAGGAATAATGACCAAAAATTTTATAGACCTGTCAATCAAGTCTTTTAGCTCACAGAATGAAAAAAAATGGGTTGTATTAGACAAACGTTTTTGATGGAGGTGTTGTAAACTGATACAGAACATGAGTTTTGTTTGTATCATGTCTGAAGACTTTTATGGTCCTTATAAATATCATTGATTGTTTTTAATAATCTCAAGGCTTATGATATTTTGTTCAACAAATCAACACTTAAGAATCCTTAATTCGTTTGTGGAAGCATTCTGATTGAACTACAAATTAGTAAGTCCCCTAAATTTCTACATGTTAGTTATAATTTTAAGAGAAATATTTAGACCCAAACTAATATTGGCTGTAACATTAGAAACCACTAAATAATTGTTTTCTTGTTTGGAACTTATCATCTCTTTAAATGTGGTGTGACATTTAAAACCACTATGTATATGTGACAAGTTCTACGTTGTATATGACTGACTAGTACTCCTCAGCAGTACTTACCCATTATCTTCAGGTATCGTATCATAGTTCTAAATCAGAAGTTCCTAGTTCACTTTTTTTTCCTTAATCGTTTTATACTAGTATGATTTTCATTTATATATTGCCTACTTTGCTGGTTACCCTGGTCACAATGTTGTATTCCCAGCACTTTCTAAAATGTTACATAACTGAAGGAAATAGATAGGAGATTCTGAACCTAGACTTTGTGCTAGATAACTGTCCTTGTCAATACTCATTCATAATCTCAAAGGAAATGATGCTATCTGTTGGGGTTCCGATCGACTTAACATCTTAATAATCTGCTACTGAATTATTTTAGTCCCAAATTTTATTAATTAATTTCAAAGTTAAACAATAGTTTTGCGTCGATTTATTTTACATTATTTCTAAACAAGAGCACAAAAAATGTGACTCATAGTTGAGTAAACAAGGTGTATTTAATCACTGAGCTATTTTATCGAATAAACAACTTGTAAAGGATTGTTTTTTACATTCCATATTTTTTTCGACTGTAATGTTGTCTGTCTGTCTGTATGTATGTATGTGTGCGTCCGCGTGTACGAAATTTACTTAATACATTTAAATACTAACTCTCATATAAGTTGGCAATTTATCAACATGTACTTTTCGTAATTGTCAGTATTACCTTAACGTCTATTAATATATTCTTTTTTAATATTAATCCTAATCTTTATGGTATATTATTCTTGTAAATTTTGATAGCCCATAGGAATCTACAGGGGTTGAAACTTTTTGTATCCAATGTAAATCATGAGTGATAAGCTGTTAATGCGAATTTGTTCGTTAAAACGTTATGTATTCTTTGATTATTTTGATTGATATCCTGAAGAAGTCCAGACAAGGTTGCTTGATGAGATGTTGGAATTATTTAAATTTCAATCATTGAGGTTATTTCAAATATAATTCTTTATATATAATGTTTTTTGTTTATAAATTCAATCCCCTGTTTCTGTCAAACTGTTAACTAATATTCACATAAAGTAATTGTAATAGTTGAATTCATGAGTCAATTAGAGCTAGACCACCATGGAAAACCTGGGAGCACTAAACGGCTCTTTCGTCATAGTATAGGATTATAACCCGAGACCTATCGGTCTCGCGCGTGAACACTTAACCCCTAGACCACTGAGCCGACATTTGACGATGTTAATTTCTAACATCAACCAATCCACGAAATTCTATGGTGGTATAGCTTTCATTGACTCATAAATTCAACCATTAAGTTACTATATTTATCCACAAAACCCCTTTTTGATTATAAAGTAACTTTGCCAAGAATAAATCGATTTTGCATAATCAATAAGTATACTCAAGTCTTGCACATGTTTTGATATTGGTAAATTGAAGAAATAACAATATATAAATTTGTCCATATGAATAGGTGGTTGGTGTGTTTAATACTGATATTAGAAAATAAGTTTTTATTTTCTGCCTTTCGCTTTACGTGTTATAAAATAAAATTTATTCACTTTTCAATTTAAAGCCAAAACATAAGTGACGTTTACTCAATTTTAATAGGAGTGGTTCATAAATTATATTTTCACCTTATTGTTGTCGTGTTTCACTTATAAAATAAAGCAAATTGAACCACTATAGTGCCTTGATTTAGGACTAGATTTGGTGTGAAATAGTCTGGATCTGATGTTACTGATGTTAACCTTTTATGTATAGCACAATTCAGTTATTTAAAACAATTAGTCCTTTTATAAGCAAAGATTGACAGTGGCTGGCGGTAGAATTCAGGACGCGCGTGTCGTCCAATTTGGGACTCGTCAGCTGGATGTACTTGCATCTCAGAGTTGATGTTCACTCTTGGACTCGTACCCAGTACCGTTCGCTTCAAACGCCATCACGTTATCTACTTAGCTACTGAGTCCTTATAGCCACCTGCCTGTGCAATGGGGTGAAGTTATATTCACCTGGTATTGTTTACTTGAATCTTCCCATTGATGTTTAGGATTGCAATTGATCAGTCTCATGTTGGCATTTGTGCATCCTGTGCGGACTGCCTCGACGTTGTCTGAAGTCACAAGCTTTATAAGCAAAGATGGATAGTGGCTAGCAGTGGAATCCAGTTTGATGCGCGTTTCGTCCTATTAGGGAAGATACATGTAAACAACACCAAGTGAATTTAAAATTAGTCCTGTTAATAAATTTCATTAATGCGATGAGAAGACGAAGGTTATGACATTTATGTGTAACACATTTCGAACAATCTGATCACACATGTACTTGCTAACACATTTTTATATGAAAGATAGAAGGTGTACTTTATTATTCTTTGTTTCCGCTTACCTTTTAATTTGTCTAGTTGATCTTTAATATGAAAATGTCTTAACAAGTATATATATGTGATCAGATTGTTCGAAATGTACTGTGCAAATGTATTACATTTCAGTTAGTTAATTGCTCAATACGACGTTTTCATCATGTGTTGATTTGCATATTGTCATGTAATTTGAATTCTATTCATTATTAACTATTGTAAAATTCACTAAATAATTCATAACTCTGTTATTTCTTTTTTTGTCTTCATTAACCATCTCGTAGCTTTATTCTACAGCGCTGGTGGATTAGGTCCTGCTTGTGGATTTCTTGCTGGTGCTGGTTTCTTAAGTATTTACATTGATTCACCATTTATGTTGCCTGAAACTGGCTTAGACCGTAATAGTCCATTATGGCTTGGTGCTTGGTGGCTTGGTATGCTTGTCTGCGCTGCATTAACTTTCTTTGTGGCATTACCTGTGATATGTTTTCCTAAACAACTTGCAGTTATTAAAAAAAGTGATAGCAATACAATTCCAAACGATGAAGCCGAAGACTTGGATAAAGTAGGTTTTGTCCATCCTTTTAATTTGTAATTATTCGGTTTTGGGGGACACTGTTCCATATCGATGACCTTTGGAGAACCAGTAAGGTTTAAGATAGAGTTTATTAAATTCTTCGGAAAATTTCGAAGCACAGTAAAGAACAGTCTGGATCTTGATTTTAAAAAATAAGCAAAAATTATCTTTATTTAGTGTCTACAATTCTTAAAACTGTTAGAAGTATCTTTTGTGCAACTACTCAGTGAATGTGGTACAATTTATAAACTAAGTTAAAAGAAGTACCTCTTCCTAATGCTGCAGATGGTATCTGAGCGTACTTGATGTGATTCATAAAACTCAATCAAGGGTATTTTGGTGACTAAGAAGTTTTTTCTTACTGTGACCACATATCCTAATTGTAGCCTATAACTTTAACTCTTAATATTTCTAAAGCCCGTCACCTAACTATAACACACGTGACCATAACTTCTGATGCTAATCAGACTCTTAATTTAGAACCCGTAGGATGCACCATACTATTGATGTTGAGTGACTCCTGGAGTGACCTTGAAGTGTCATGTCCTGAATACCGCATTCCTAACATCCTTATCCTAATTCTTTAACAGTAACAATCAAAATGCAGGCCTTGTAAACGGCTACCTATGCTGTAGCACAGTAGTTATTTATGTTCTTGTAATCCACTGAGTTATCAAAACCATGACATTTTGCAATTTTATCTTTGATCATGAAAAGACGTTAGTATTTCTAATGGAGTTCTTTACACAACATATAGAGTACCGTAAAACAAACTCATTTCTGAAGTCCGTGTCTTCTATGCATGTCATTTGCTGCTCACAGTTACGTAAGATGATATTTCTCAATAGTCTAAGTTGGTTTTGTAGGCAATCGACGTTCATACCACAATCCGAATTAACGGGAAGACTAATTTTATTCAAAACACGTCATCCAGTAGCAAGCTATATGTAGTTCCATCTTAAAAATCTCGCATACATACAACAATTGCTACCTTCACTCTGATTTGTCGTTTCTACTCGTTGTAAAACCATAAGCACAGTTTAGTCCTGGCCCTTACTTTAATCCTTTTGGTTCGTTAACCATAAAAAATTGTTTATGCCTCTTAATTTTACTACCTTTTATTATGAAGTGTTTTCTGATTCATTGATGTGTTACTCAAGGTCATCGATTTAATGTCATTTTACCCAATTTTGTTTCATAATCTTTTTACAGTTTGTAACTATGCTACATTTTTTGTTGGTCGAATTACATCAATTTGTTTGTCATTTCAGTATTTATTTTCACTTATATTCAATTGATACTATAATTTGTAGTGATGTATCTTTTTTTTTGTAAATAATGTTTGTCGCATTGAGATTCTTCCATTGTTTGTTGATACAAAAACCAATGCTTATCGACTCCAAATATGTAAATCTCATAGTTCTGTTTGGTGAAGATACTGGCATGTCGCAGAGATCTCATCGCGTTCAGTACCAATACTTTTATTCCTTTCCTTCTAGTGCGAAATTTCGCTTCACAGCTGGTTTATATTGACTCCTAAACTAATGACAGCAAGTGAAGCAGTAGTCGGGTCGGTTGGTAACTTCACTTTTCTTGGAAGTGTATCGTCAACCCACGTGCATTGGTGTTTGATTAAGTCTTGTTACAGATTCAGCGGGCTCCATTGGCATTTTCCAATTTGTGCTACCCTACTGAGTAGGGAATATTAGTATGTTACCGTTATAAATACTATCGATGCATTGCTCGTTATTGCTGCGACAGTGAGGTGAAAAATGTTGAGGTTAGGTGCCTAGAACATAAGCCCAATATGGCAGATCAGATGATGAGGTAGTGAATCTACATCAACTCAGGTTTGGGCATGTTTTTCGTACGACCAACCACTGCATTCCTCGAGTGTAACCAAGCAAAATGTAACTTTGGTTTCCAAAGTCATTGATTATTGAACTGACCCATGTAGTAAGATGTCGATTACGTGGTTGGTGTCCACATGATTATCTCAACCAGTGGTCAGATGCGTTGTGTGACATGCCTCAGGCTCTTAGCGAATTACTTAGCTAGAATAAATAAATCATATAATACATTTTTGTAGTTATAGAATTTGGATCTTATCTCTACCCACCCTGTTTATATCACATATAGTATTATTCCGAGAAAAGTAATTTAAATGTTTTAGTATCATAAGTACGTATTTGATGTTTTATGTTTTACCTACACGTCGACGTTTTTTTTAAAGAAAAAGCATTTTCAATTTGCACTTTTATCTTTTAATAAATTACATATATACAAACATTCACTCCTTTTCACACTGTTTACTTATAGCATTTTATAATGGACTCATATTATCCTACTTACTAAAGTCAATATCTAAATATTTATTAAATAAGTAGTTAGTTTAGATTTGATTTTGATTATTACCCTGTAGTAGAAGTTTAAACAAGACTACTGGAACGAAATGTTGGAATTATTATAAATTTCATTCAATGAGATTATTTTAAATATAATTCCGATAAATAATATATTAATTGAGATCATGAACTGATCAATGTTAGATCATCATGGAAAACCTGGAAATACTAGACGGCGGTTTTAGCCTAGTATTGGATTCCTCAGCAGTGCGCATATGCGGGAATCAAATCCAGGACCTTCAGACTCACTCGCGATCACCTAACCTGTAGACCACTGAGCCGGGATATAATGATGATAATGTCTAACTTTAATCAATCTACGGTATTTTGCGATCTCAATGAAAACCTAACAATTTCTACAACCCTGTAATATATCGAAAAATATCTTCTGGTATTATTGTTACTACTATTATTGTCATTATCTCTGATTGAACGATGTTATTATTGTGTTAATAAGAGTTGGATTTATGTATAATCTTTGGTGTAGAATGCTTATGGTAAATTTTAATTAACTCCGTCACCTATGTGAAGAACAATCATAGGATTCTACGAATCACTTATGATTTATTTATTATAGCGTTTGCCATTCACGATGTATACGTGGAATAGTACAGTAAATTCTTCGTTATTGCTTCATCCAGTATTTCATGGCATCATGGTTTGATCTTAAATTTGCCATTAGGCAGTTTTAGCTGAAGTTTTATGTAAGCTTATAATTTCACCTCTCCAATTGGAAAATATCATATTGTCAATGAAAAGAAAATGAAAACTTTTGTGTCCATTTTATTCTCTGAAGATGGGGCATACATTGAGTCACGAAACTTCAGAAAATGTAATTTTTCTACTCATTCAAGCATTACAGATAAATTATTCGTATTAATATCAATCTACCTATCAAGTCAAACTTTGATAAGGATACCTGAAAACTGTCATTGTTTACAATCCTGTTAGCTTATATTATTCAATATGTAGTATCTTTTATTGATTATTTGTCATAGACCCTCTCCTTTTTGCTCATTACTCTTGTAGTAAATAACATTTTAAGTGTTTATATTGTTAAAAATTACTGCTAACTGTTAATCTATTGTCATATGTATGATAAGCTTTCAAGTCAGTTGCGGTCATTACATTATGTAACCTTAGATTAAGTTAAAGTTTACTGTGTTTTTTCTAAATAGTTTATTCACATTTAATTATTGACGTAGTTATCTAATGCATATGATCTGTTTGAGCGTTATATATGACTTCCTGATAATTTATACTCATGCTCAAATTTTTCAGATCCTGAAACTGAACGAATATTTATTCAATAACTTACTACAATCTATGTATCTTTTTGGTCTAACCAATTTTTCCTCAAGTACTTTCAGTAACTGCCATAAATACTGGGATATTTACGATTGAATTCCCACAACTGAACTTATAACTTAACGATAATACCATTAATTTTATTATTGTTTACTGTGAATATGTTAATCTTGTGTTCAATTTCGTTTCTGTTTTCTATGTATCATAGATCTGTTCCCCTACAATCCAATCTAATAATCATAATATTTCCAATCTTAATACAAATAGCAATAAAGTGAATTTATCTTACGTAAGGTCGTCTGATAATTTGCCTAATATAAATAAACAATTTGGAAAACCATCACTAACCACAACCACAACAGCCGTTTCGACTACTGCTGTCGCAGGTGTTGAAACATTAACATCAAATCATTTGCTCAATACACTATCACCGAGTAGTCGCAATGTTCAGTATCCAAGTCTAGAAGAATTTAAACAACAGCAGCGATTGCCTGAAATGAAGCGAAATCATGTTGATTCACTTAAGACACCTCCTCATTCTCCTACTACCATTACTTCTAATTCTCTTTATGCACCGTCTCCATCTATCAGGGATGCTGTAATTAGTGGTGATGGGACAATTGTTTGCCCTTCAAATCAACATTTTCGTTCACATTCAAATATTGGTGGTGGTCATCTTGATGGTAATACTGTCGAAGTTGTTAATAATGGTATAGCTGGTTGTGGAGATCACTCTGACAATTTGGGAAAATTCATGAAAACATCCTTGAATAATTCATTTTGTGAAAACCAAGCTAATCTTAAATCAAAAATAAAAGGTAATAATTAAATTTGTTGTGTGTGATCATACATAATAGTGTTTGTGTGTTTGTTTCGTTTATCTTCTAGATTTTGTGTTTTGAGTACTTTGGGGTTCACTAATGTAGACTTAGACTATGATCAACATATTAAGCTTACTGACGTCGTTTAACTAATGATGTCGAGTTAAATAAAGTTGTATAACTGATCAACTTACTCTTACGTCGAAGTTCCACTGCTCAATAACTCTCCAGTTTGTCCTATTATAACTTGGTGACTAACTTATCTTAGCACACTAGAATAACGAATAAAATCCTATCAGACTTATATTTTAGTGCTATGAGAATAAAATGGTGACATAAACAAGAGCCAACCGTAATAATTGGCTTCAAATTATCAATTGACTAATCAACTTGTTTATCTATAACTTTGACAAACTTCCGTAAACAATACAATGTTCACAGGTCAGATTTCTGAGATTAGCAACACAGATAAATTCCCTTAAGATTCAATGTTTTTTTTTCTTTTGTGAAAACTTTTGATTGTAATATAGAGTTGGATTGTATAAAAACGGGGATTACTAATGAAGTGAAGTGAACTTTTTTCTGTTTATTTTTGATATGACCTCTTCATAACAAAATCATTTCTTAAGTATTATTTAAAGGAAAAAAATATTGTACTTTTTCTCGTTAAATTCTCTAAATCAACTAATTTAATAGTCAACTTTTCACTGTTATCCTTAATTAGTTAGGGAGTATTTTAACTTTACGAGTTGATGTATTGATGTTTCCTATCTTGATAACACCAAGGGGTTTTGATTGATTGTTCAACTTGATGATATATTTACTTACTATTTTCGAGATAGTGGAAAAGATTTGTAGTTGACTGATTCTATTTTAGTTGGAGTTAGTGACTTCACTAGTCTTTCTCTCGTTTTTTTTCTGTCCAAAGAACATTATTTTCCTAATAAGTGGTCTATGATTAGTAAATTTGAATAATGACTAGCAATTGAATACAGGTTGCGCGTTTCTTCCTTTTCGCGACTCATCAGCTAAGCATATCTTCGTCATAGTGGTAATGTTCACATTTAGACTTCTTTTGATCAAACAACAACCTTGAGACAATTCGATCAGGATGCATTAAAAGTGATTGGTTAATTTCACTTTTGAAATATTAACAAAGGGCAGATTAAAAATTTTATAAATAAGAGTTCTATTATGTTCAAACATATATGCGAAACTAATCGAATCCTAGTGAAAATTAACCGTTCATCAATATATATTTAGTAAGGGGAAATCCAAAGGCCTAAGCTGTAATAATCTATACGACAAAACACTTCATTTCTTTAATACATGTAAACTTATTTGGAGAATATGTAGTCAGATAGATAGGATAGATAGATATACACAGGTTAACAAACGTAGGTGTTCATTAGCTTGGCACGTGCAACTTTAAAAGTGTTCTCAACATTTTTATCGGTGAATAAACTTTACTTGAATTAAAAAACTTAGTTTTTTCTAAATTTTCGACCCTTTCTACTGGTTAAATTATATAGGGAAGAGAGATTGACTAGACTGAAAAGAATACGTCTTAGGTCTTAGGAAGCTTGAGGCTAGATTGTTGATAGTAGTACACCCATTTCCAACAGGATATAAATTCAAGTTCAAAGTAGTCAATGCTTTCCATTGCAGACAAAACCTAATGGTCAAAGACATTACGTTTAGAGCAAATCAAGTGCGATTCGCTGTATGTTAGGGGTTACTAAGTAATAAATGGAAAAAATTTTCAGCAAATCTTTTTTTCGATAATTTTTTCAAACATGGATATGGAGGATCCACCTAGGTGAGTTGTAAAACCCTGATTCCAAACCAGTGGTGCACATGGGCTTCAGAATCCTAAGGAAACAAACGGCGTACGAACCTATCGATGGTCACCGGCTACCATGGGACTGCATCTCCACTGCCTTGTGGATCAAACCTTTAGGTCGAAGGCTCAGGGTGTGGCCCTCTAAGAAATCCACCTATTTCTGTCTGGGCACCCGGGCAGTATCACAGCCTACACACGGATCAAGTGACCTGTGTGGCACATATGTATTTGGTACCGTTTCGTACCAAGGTTTATGTGTTCAAATAAAAATGGAATAAAAAATCTAGACCGTTAGGAGCGTTTGTGCGCCTGTCTAGTAATTTAACTATTTATAATTAATCAATCATTTGTAGTTTACATTAATACAAATAGAGTTTTCAGCTTCGCTAGTCCATTGATTTTTAGAAATCTAGACTACTGGATTCCAACTCAGTAGTAACGTACTTGCCACGAGGTCCAACAGTTCTGGATTCCGATGCATGATAGGATAGTGGGCCCTCACTATGAAAGATTTTAAAATAAACCTAAAGAAAATATCCAACACTCCTTAGTGTTTCCAGTAGTTTTTATGTCAATATCAGTCAGTTGTGAAACCTCTTTCGTACAGTTATGTATAACTATTTGGCACATATATTTGATTCTCGCCTACATTTAGCTTTATCATTACAGGTAATAACTGACATGGTCATTATTAAACCTGAACTTAGACTACATCTAACGATTGACGTTAGATAAAACCAACATATGCTGTCTAGAGGGGTAATTCTCTCGGAGACGCCGTGACCCATGAAGTTTAACCTTGACAGTTGTAAAGCGGTTGCACACCATATATAATTGAAAAACGTAATATCGTGAATCAATTAACATTAGGCGTAGAAACCATTGGATTCCGGTCTAGTAGTCTAAAGGTTAGGCTCTCTTCACGAGTTCGGGAGACCCTGATGGAGTCATGAGTACTCATTTTTTAGAAGTTCCATACTAGGACGAAACAGTTGTTTATTTCATCCAGGTTCATCGTAGTTATCATTAACCAGTTCATGATGTAAACTATGATATAGTACTTACACCAGATCTCATGTTACTATAATTTAAATAGATTCCTCTGCATAAGACTCACATCCGCACTAAGTACTAGAACAAATCGGATTTATTCTTATTTCAAATGTTTTTATCGTCAGTTTACACTTTCAACAAACAAATTCATTACTCGGTGGCGTAACATTTTGAACTGACGAAATCAGAAAGAAGCTTTACACAATAAGTATTTGTGACACCTTAAACAATTTAGTTAAAAGTAATGTATAGTTTTATGTGGAAAATTTTACTTTACATACTCTGGCCGATCGTGATCAGATTGATGGAAAAAACATTCAGTTATTAGTAGTTGGGATTGATAACCAACACGTCTTTTACCTAGTTTTGTGCGGATTGGTGTTTACCACCAACATGGGACGCCTACTATGTTGAGGTATAACTAATTTTCCCCATTGTGTGGTGTCACTCTAATGACGACTAACAGCTTATAAGAATCAGATGTTTACATTATTCGTTCATTAAGTGGTGACTAATACCGTATTGTTTAGTCCGTCGCTCTGACGGACATCTATCAAGCAGGACGTCAATAACGACTTGAATGTATGGGTAATGACGTCTTTGATTGTGTAATATTCAATGGTGTAAGTGTGAATCCGATAGGCGATATCATCAGTTTCATCTAGACTGCATATACATTTTGTTAATGGGAGCCGACAAGCATGAAATCCTTATTTAAGATTTTCGGTAAATTTCGGTTTCTTAACTTCAGACGTAAAGTTTACCATGGTGTTTAGTCAATAAGCCCAACTGACCACATTCCAAAAGTAATCAATCGAATTCGACTAATGTCGGCAGGATGAACAAATAAGATATCACTCGCAATTGTTTCAATGATTTTCATATTTCTTTTATGATGCCTGGTGATGGTATGTTTTGAGATCCGTTGATTTTTTATGACTCGAGATACTTATCGATATCACACGATATATCGTCGGTAGGACCGGTGACCTGTTTCACGAATTTACACACCGACTAATGTACCACCATCAATGCCTAAAGCTTATTTGTCCTCTAGTCCCTTGCAATGATTAGGGATTAGTAATACGTATAATAACAGTCGACAGGTAAATTGAAGGCCTACAATAAGTGTAATGTAGAAATGCAACCATACACTTGTTTACCAAATATATACGATAGTATACTTACTATTCGTAGAATAGTTCTGAAACTTACAACTTCAATATTCATCCCATTATAATGAGAGATAATTTTTGTGTGGGTTCGATACCCCGTTTACGATGTTGTAATCGTTTCATCTGCGCTTCGTAATATAATCGTCTTTTTTTCTCCATATTTCTTTTCAATCTCAGCTTCATATCATATCGTACGTCGTGTACTAACTAATCCTGTCTGGTTAGGTGTAACATTGAGTACTGTTGTGGAACAATCGATTGTTGCTGCGTTTTTAGCATTTGCTGCAAAATACATTCAAATTTTATTTCATATACCAGCTTATTTGGCTAGTATTCATACTGGTAAGTTTCTTTTATTTATTCTTTCTTGGATAAAAATTATAACCATTTCTAGTTTGTATTACTCTTTGTTGTTGAAATTTATAACTAACTAGATTAATAGATTATGTATTGATTTTTACACCGATAGCTAACAAGTTCAAATCTCACTGTCATTACCAACACACCTAAGATCCAAAGTACATCCTGAAAATGATGAAACACAAGTTCCAGATGCATTCCGTTTGTACTTACGATCCAACTTTACAAAGATTATTGTTTTTATTGTGTAGATTAAATGGATCGTGGCTAGCGCTGTAATCCAGAACGTGTGTTTTTATCATATTTGGGACTAGTTAGCTAGATTTACCTGCATCTTAGTGTGGATCTTTACACCGAGACTCAAATTCAATACCTTTTATCTCAGACGCTCAACACATTACCCATTGTTTTACTAAATGCCGATATCCCCTCACTCATGTTACGGGTACGATGTTTATATTATTATTAGGAAGAGCTTGACTTAATGTTTGTTTTGTTTGAGTTATGGTTTGAAAATCAACACAGGGGTATGACAAATTGATCCAACTGATGAGCCCTAACTATGATAAAACTTGTATCGTGAATTTTACAGATGGGCAAATGTAATCTGTTCTATACAACTTGTTACGAAAATATCTATGCCAAGGCCTTCTTCACAAGACATACATATGCCAACAATCATTGATCAAAATTCAGTCCTAAATATCAGCAGTGGGATCATGCAAACGTTTCGAAATAATTACATGTTACTGTTATTATTTCTCTTAATGCCCAGCTCAAATCAATTTGATTCATGTCTTCTTCAAATCTCTGTTTATTTTTTAATTAGTAGATAAGGATTTTCTTACTTCAGATAGTTTATAAACTAACATTCCTTCATATGTATTCACATTAATAAGAGTGCAAGCAGAAGCGCGATTATGAAGAAGGCGAGTTAAAAAAGTGCATATAAAGAAGACACACGTTAATAAGGGTGACTATCAATAAGGTTCATATTAATATAGCTCAGTATTGAAATGGGTAATAACATTTTCACCGGCGTGAAATATATTCCATTTACCCTCTTTCCCTTTGCTTCACGATCAACTAAAACCGTATTTTCCTAAACACATGAATAGTCCGCTTTCAGCAAATACTGTAAGTTTTCGAATTGGGTAGCAAATTGTTATTCTTGTTACTATAGTCATGTCAATTTCGAACAGCTAGGATATAATCTATTCCCAACTAATGCGCACCTTTTTGATGATCGCCTTTGTTAGAGTGCACACCTTTCACTTGCTCTAGTAAATGGATACCCTTCATATGTTGTACCCCTATCATCACTCTTTTATACTTAAAAAAAAATTAAGTCTTTGATGTGAACTAATCATGAAAGAAAAATAAATAAAGTAAGCCAACCTAAAATTTAAGTAAATCACTGTTAATAAAGGGTTTTTATGAAGATTGTTGTAGCCCATTGGTTTTACATCATAAAATGATCTTAGCTAAAGACCTGGAAATAATAAACAATATCACGAACTGATTTAAGTTAGACAATCTAAACTAATAGATGTCAGCTCAATTGTTTGCAGCATGAACTGAATATTTTGGTTTCAATCTCCCATGGGGTTGTTGCTACTAACTGTTGTGAAATTTTAGACTATGACAAAACAGTTCAGGGCTTTCTGGTTTTCAATAGCTGTTTAACTAAGATCAGTTCGTGATGTAATTAGTTATTATCATCTAAGTGTATTTACTATTATTAGTTATTCTTGCTCGCTCCAAAAAACATTGGTTATCAAGTAATTATCTCGTCATCGTTTAGAACTCTTTTTATTAGTTTATTCATTTTTATCCACTTAATTTGAATGAACCTAGATTCTTCCAGTGTAACGACAAGTGGAAAACTTATTTTGTAAAGTATCTCGTATCATTTAGGAATTCATTTGGCTATTAACTCGATGACAGTATGAATATCACCTCACCCTCGAAAACTGTGGATCCTGTGTATTGAGTTTATTTTTGAAATATATCAGATGGCTATTTCTATGATCTACCAAATACTGGGTCTTTCCCTCTCTTGACCAGTATTTATTATTGACGTATATAGTGAAGTATTATTTACGGGAAATCTGTTTGTTACTTGTTAATCGCAAGGATGAAACCTTTACTAAGAACAAAATCAACTATTTGATGAAAATAAACTCTAAACAGTACTTTTCTGGAATGACTCCTTCCGTTTTCATTAATATGAATTCTGGGTCGTGACGATAGGCTAAGTAGACACCAACTTATATTTCGAAAGTGCTTTAAATGGGGTATTGTAGCAGAGCTTCTAAAATCTGACTTTTGAGATCTCTCTGTGAAAGACGAATTTTGCCATACTTGTAATGGTCTACACTAGTCGACATCAAATTTGAAAAGATTTCTACGATAATCTATTGGCTTGAATTCACAAACAGCCCGTCAATTCTGATCATGTTATTACTACAGTAATGATTGTTCATAATTATTTTTATCGTCAAACATATTTGTTTACTATTTATTTAAATACATATACGTTTGTACAAGAAGGCGCCAAATATATGCGCTCCACACTTTATCATTCCATTTGTATGAGGAATAGAATACTGTCCTAGTGATCGGGCACCACACTCCGAGCCTTTGACCTAGACATCTTATCCATAAGGTTGTGGAGCAACGTTAGAAAATGCAGTCCCATGGTAGCCAGTGGCCAACAATATGTTCATATCCCATTTGTTCCCTAAGGGTCCTTGAACCCATGTGCATCACTGGTTTAGAATCAGGGTTTTCCAACTCCTCTAGGTGGATCATCCATATCCACCAAAGTGGTTAAAGCGTCGGACATTCGTTTTTCGTCCTCTCAATTTCGTAAACAACATGAGAAGGTAGTGAATAGGACTTCCCTGTCAGTGGTTGTATGCACTTGGCCATGTGAGAGCCTTTGGAGAGGAAGGGCAGACCCTCTTCACCCTGCGTTCGTACTAGGGCATTTGGGGTCAAACAAATCAGCTTTAATGCATAGAGGATAGGTCAGAAATAATTTATAATTCTTTTGAGAACTTATAAATTATGATTATTACTTAATACTTAACCATTTACAGTATATAGCTAACTCATTGTTCAATTGTTATACGATTACTTTTCATAATTCTATTTCATTTGGAGAGATGTTTTAGTAGATAGATACACAGGTAGATATACAAACATATTAGGTACTTGAAAACTCCTTATCTCTACATTTCTATTGATAAGATGCTTCTGACGTAACCCGTTTGTATAGTATATATATGCGTGTGTGTTCTTTTGTATCATATGTTTGAGCTTGTGTTAACATTAATAATGCTACTTTTTTTTCTACAATAACCATTCTTTTGTGTTTTTGTCATTGTCATCATCATTTTGGATTATTTGTAGGCTTTATTATTACTCTATAAAAGAAATGATAGATCAATCATGTACATATGAATGAATTTCTGTAAAGAGAGAACAAAGTAATTAACTCCTTTGAATTTAGATTTTATGCAATTTAATCAACAAATAAAGTCTCCTTTAAAACAATTATTATTAATACCACTATCACCACTATTATTGTTATTGTTATTATTATTATTATTATTATTATCACTGAATGTGTTAAAAGAATATATCCTATACAAAATGAGTGAAAATAGTATCGTGGGGAAGCAAAAACATATAATCGATTAAAATAGATCGAGTGTTCTAGCAGTTAGGCACTTGTATGCGACGTCGAACGTCCTAGATGCGATCCTCTGTTTCATGGTTTTAAATAATCACTACTGAGGAGCCCCATAGTTGGAAAAAACAGTTTTTAAAACTTCCTCGTTTACAATGTTAGTCAAACGAAGATCAATCTATGATTGTAATTCTTAAGAATAGTATATATTGAAAAACAATGTGGCATAATATGAATGTACGGGGTTTCTGATGATTGTCGGATTTTATAGTTCACATCATAAATTGATCTTCGTTAAACAATGGCTGAAAAAAACGAAGTACTAAACAGCTACCCCATCATAGGATAGAGGTTTGCATCCACGACCCTACTGCGGATCATACTATTGACCTACATGTCTAACCGCAAAAATCTCACCTTTGAATTACTGAGTCATCATCCAGTTGTTTACAATTCTGCCTGTAATCTATTTACAATATTACACGAATATTAGTAATTGTATTCCATGTTATTACTAATAATTGTTTTTGCTATTTATAAAGACTGAATTCTCCTCCTTTACTGTATATTTATAAATAATAAATATACAGTTCTGTTAGTAACATTAATGAATCTATATCTATTCTGATAAATTAATATTAATTACCTGTCAAATCACTTGGCTATTCATTTAACTAAGGAATTTCTAATGTATTAATTTTAAAAGCTAGAAAATCATACATTTTTAATTTAAAGCCTATAGACAATTCTTATGTGTGTGTGTGTGATTATTAATAAGTTATGTAGTTAATCATAAACAGTATAAAACCTAGCATATATACTGTTCATCGATATAAGTTGGCTACACCTTATATCAGTACTACGAGATACCAAAGCAATAAAAGCAGTATCAGCATTAGTGGTAGTTGTAGAAAAGATTAGATGCGGGCAACATGATCCAAAAATAAACATGAATTCGTGAAAAATATAAAATAATTTCAAAACTCTAGGTTTCAGTGAAGACAAAGAGTAAATATGCATGTACCATTTTAGGCTTATGTCACTTAAAATCTCCAACCACCTGTTACAATAACCAAGAGAACTCAAACTACATAGTCTGGCATTTACCTTCACATGTCTCACTTTAACAGCCAATAACTTCATGAACTGATGCCCTATGTTTGTTTGGTCACCTTTAATCTTTTCCCAACCTAATTCTATACCAGCTATCATTACTTGTCAATATATGTCTAGATTATTCTTTTTTTAATGTACTATTCGAATAATGGGTGGCAATAAAATTAAT